CGGAAGCGAAAGTGAAAGCGGAGGAAGCGCGGGGGCGGGGCCGGGGAGGGCCTTCGGAGGCGGAGCCGGGGCCTGGGGCGGGGCCTGAGCTTCGGAGGCGGAGCCGAGGCTTGGACAGTGCCGGGGCGGGGTCTGGGCTCCGGAGGCGGAGCCGGAGCCTGGGGCGGGGCCTAGGGCAGTGCCGGGGTTTCGGAGGCGGGGCTGAGAGGGCTCTCCAGGCCCCGCTCCGGAAACCCCGCCCGCGGGCCTCCACTGCCCATTGTAGAATCCGCCTCGTCTTGCCCTGCGGGCCCAGCGGTCGTCCGGCTCCGTCCGTCCGGAAAACGGACGGACCGCCCCCGCCGAATATTTCCACTCCAGAATGCGCCCCATGGGTGCTCCGGAAGGCCCTCTCTTAAGATGCATCCCTGCTACATCCACCCTCCATCCAGAAGGATTTCCCCCACAAGTGCACGAGCCTCCCTCAGCCCCCATGCTGCCCCCTGGAGGATGTCCCTGCCCTCACCCGGAGGGTACCCCGTCCCCCGGGGGATGCCCCCATGCCCTCCCTCACCTCTTGCTACCCGCAAGTTGAGTCCAGGCCAGTGCCTCGGTAGAGGCCTCTATGCCTTCTTCACAGGCTTGCTCTGGGATCCTTGCGGACCTGTATTAACCCTATGGGGACAGCCCCATCTTTCCGGAAGGACAGCGGTGACGCCTCCAAGGTGGTGGGGCTCTGGGACTTTCTGCGAACGGCTTACCAACAGCAGCCAGAGTAGTGACCCCAGTACTAGGCAGGACTGCTGCAGCCCCTGGCACCGTGCCCCGCGGGGAGGGTCCCGACGTAGGCGCTAATGGGTGCTGTGAGCACTTGGATGAGAGGGTCACTCCCCCCACACCCAGGAGACAGCAGACTTTCCACAGGCCACCTTCCCCAAGAGAGTGGCTTTCAGGACACTGCCCACCTTATGGGAGCGATGTGAAAAGGGACAGCTTTGGAAACCCTGTAGGGCAGTTCTACTCTGTCCTATAGGGAGGCTAAGTGTCAGAATCTACCTGAGCAGCGGGGATTTTGGGTTTGCCCACCTTTTAACTGTCTTACAAAGAATAGTCTTAGCAGAGGCCCCCTTAATTCGTCTCAAGGGGGGCCCTCATTCTGCTCTATCTCTGCCCTGAGCCTCTGCATCGTGGGAGGTCTGAAGAGGATAAGGGGTGTGGGGGCAGGCCTGGGAAGTGTGCTAGGCATCAGTATGGGCAGTGGACACGCGGACATCCGGGGACCCGCATACCTAGCACACCTACTCACAGGAGCACCATCATCCCCCTCACCTGGGAAGTTCAGTTGGGCCAGGAAGGCTGAGGTTGGTTTGAACATTTCTCCTGCCTAAAATGGATGCAGGCATTTCACTTGGCTAAGGCTCTGTGGCGCTGGAGTGGGCTGGCTGGACTGGGGGCCACTCAGACATGCCCAGGACTGCTGTACCAACTCCCAGCCCCAGCTGCAGCCCTCCAGAACACTGGTCCCAGGTCCACTTCAGGGCCCTTGTTCCTTTGGGCCCAAGCCCTCGGCCCACACGGCCTCTGCTTTCTTCCTAGTCTGCAGCAACAGTGAAGCTGAAATCCCATCCAGTGGGCACAGTGACCTGGCGCCTCTCTGTGCCTCAGCCTCACGCCCAGGTCCAGTTCTGCTGCTACACGGGTCTGGATCACACCGAGGTTTGGATGTCACTCTCAGCATGACAGGACGTCACTGGGATGGGGTCAATGTGTCCAGGGTGCTCCGAGCCTCAGCGAGGTGCATCCTGCAGTGGGTCACCCCAGGTTCCTGTGTGCTGCATGAGGCGCTGTCCATGCCTAGGGGGGTGCTGTGCTGGTCACAGGCACAGGGGTCCCGTTCTGGCTGCTGGGAAGCTGAGGCAGGAATCCAGGCAAGGTTGGATGCCGGTCAGCTTCCAATCCCTGGGGGGCGATCTCACAGCAAAGACGGGCCTTGCCTGTCAGCTGCTGTGAGTGCTGGCCTCCTAGCTCCCTTGTGCTGGCTGTCCCCACCAGGTGCACCCCCAGAGCCTGAGTCTGAGCCCAGGCTCCCCTGGGCTGAGCAGAGTTTCGGTTCCGTGGTGCTCTGTCGAGGTGAAGGGCCTGGGGGCTTGAGGCGGCCCAAGGCAGGGCACATGCCCTCCTATTTGGAATGGCTGGACTATCACCTGTGTTACCTTCTCCCATGGCTGAAGCAGCTTCTGGAACGTTCAGCCTGCGCGGTGAGCTAAGGTGCAGGACTTGTGCCAGAGCCTCGCCTCTACCGGCTGTCCCACAGGCTGTCCCACAGGCTGTCCCACAGGCTGTCCTCTCCTCCCGGAACACTCTGTTTGATATGTGTTAGTTAACAAAGTAACCACTCAACCCATTACTGTTTGCCGCACACACACTTGTATCAAATTAGTGTCTCATCACAGTGCCCCTTCTGTTACAGACATTTGACAAGTCAGAATGCCCTGGGGCAGGAAATGTTAACCAATTTGGTATCAAAGTTGCAGAGTCCAGGCTAATTTTTTGTGCTTTAATGTCAGCAAAAAAAGGTACACTTCCGCTAGCCATTTCCACTCCGCCCCAGCTTGGGCCAGCCCCACTCCCACATTTGGTCCATTCACAGGTTTCTCAGTAATACAAAAATAACCACACTACAAATCCTCATCTCCGGCATATAAATGTAAGCAGAAAGCACCCTGGTATCTCTTCACTTCACACAAAACATCTCAGGAACCACCACCCATGGTGAGTCCCTGTAGCAATTTATTTTCATATAAAACGTTAGTAAAATAATCTTCTTAAAAATTAAATAGTGACAATGGCAACCAAGTTGCACACATGGTTACAGTGCGAGCGAGCCGGGCAAGGTCCTGTGGTGCGAGGGGAGTGCGCGGGCCCTTCCTCCGACGCTGTTCCCTGAGGATGAGGCTGCACAGGCCCCGGGGGGAGACCCACGGCTACTGAGGACGGAGAGAGAGCGGCATTCGTATTGCGTGTGGGCCGAGCCAGTGCTCCTGGTCCAGGGCCCCCGTGAGGGCCCAGGCAGGAGGCACGTGGGCGTCATGGGACGCCAAGTGCACTCAGGAAGGACAGCTCGGAGCCTTGTGCAGCCCTCAAGATCTGGTCTTTTGGGGTCCCTTGGAGTCCTCACCAGCATCATGGAAGCGTGTCTATTCTTCAGCCAGACGGCACGTCCCCAGCGCTGAGGCAGGCAGCACTGGGTGGTGTTGCGGCCGGCTGGGGTGTGCCGACCCTGCTGACAGCACCCCTATTCCTCCCCGCCGCTGCCTGTGGCCAGCTCTCTGCTACTGCCTAACGTGGGTGCCTACGTCCGGCGCCGCTTGGCGGCGCTGGGGCTGGACGGGTTGCTGTTTGCTGTTAGAACCTTGTCAGTGACCCGGCTGCGTTTCCGCTTGTCCGCTCCTTCCTTGGATCCCAAGTCTGAGGAGCTCCTGTCTTTCTCTTTGCCAGACTTTTCTGTGGTTTTCCCCGAGCTTCCTGAAGATGACAATACTGAGAGACAACACCGCTCGGCTGTAACCGTCAGGCCCACTGCAAACGACACCCCAACCTTCCCGTCACTGCCTGCTCAGTTCAAATGCTCCCCTCACCCACACAGCCCTCCGGAACTGAACTGCCCAAAGGGTGCGGGTGCCCGGCCATCACGGCCTCATGCCTCTGCCACAGACATCAACGGCAGACTGCCCGACGACTCGACCCGTCGTCCCCCCCAAGCATCACCCATGGGAAGACCATCCACCAACCTCACCCTTCACCCTGTCTGAATAAGCCATCACCCAGCTGCCCAGGGACACCATGTTCGATGAACAGTCCACGTCATACCCACATCATGACCAGCACCCAAGGCCACTTGCTGCCACTAAATTTGCCCCAAGCAACTGTGAGGATGCCGTGACTGCACCTTGGTGTTATGCTCGGCAGGCCGGAGCCCCCTCTTAAACTAAGCTGGAGCGTTTAAACGGACTGGCGAGCAAGAGATGCCTGCGGGGAGGCAGGGGTGCCGTGGGGGCCTCACAGGGGTGCTGCGCCTTCCCTGCCTGGGCTGAGGGATGCACGCTGCCTGCACTCACCATCATCAGCCCCGTTGTGGGGGTCCACATCTTCCTTCATCTCCTCTTTCAACTCCTCCTCAATGATCACCTTCCCTGTGGAAGGAGACTGCTGGCTGAAGCGAGCAGCTGGGACCAGCCTGCTCAGGGGGCTCACTTGGCAGCCAGCAGAACCAGGGCAAGGCCACCCACACTGCCTGGTGGCCATCTCTGAAGGAAAAGTCCACTCCCGCCCTGGAGGTCCCCGGATTCCTGAGCCCAGGCTCAGTGCCCACACCCCCTCCCAGACCCCAGTCCTCCCTGGTGTGTGGCCTCCCCACGGCCACAGACCCTGCCCAGGTCCCACCTTTTTCTACCTCCAGACCCAACCCAGCCTGCCCGCACCTCACCTTCTCGGACCTCTTGGATGATCTCCTCTGGGAGGACAAAGTTCCTCTCTGGATTCGGAAAGGGGAGAATCTCAGACTCGTGCTGGCATCACAGTTTTTTAAGAAGGAAAAGAAAATGCACTGTCAACCATTTACATTTAAAGTGTGTGAAGCCGATGCAGGGACACCAGGTGTCCTGGGGGTGGGGGGGGGCTATCCTATACGAGATAGTGAGGGGAGGAGCAGCGCCTGCAGTGGCCTGGCCTGGCTGCCGACACACTCCCAGGAGCAGCACAGAAAGGCTACGTGCCCCGCAGCAGAGGGCAGGCTGAGGCTCACGTGCTCAGCGAGGAACGAAGAGCGGTGCCCAAGGACAGGGCAGGACTGACAGCACCGCCATGTGGGCGGGGCCCTCAGGGAACCCCGGTGAGGAAGCAAAGCCTTGGCTCAGGGTTCCCACTGTCCTCCAGGCCCTAGGCCTGGCAGGAGGGTCCTGGAGCTCACCAGCTAGCGGGTTGACTGGGTAACCAGACTAGGTAACCGGGTGGGACACAGAGCCTGGAAAGGCAGGAGCTCGGGGTGGGAGGGAAGAGGGACTGCTGGGACAGCCTCGGCTGCCGTGAGGCAGGCTGTGTCCCACCCAGAGGCCTGCTCTCCAGTCCTACACATGCTCATCGAAATCTCCTGCATACACTAACAGTGCCACAAACTCTGCACTCTCGGAGGCTGACTCCTGGGTGGGGTCCCTGGTCTCGAAGAGGTATCTCCCGGGGTCCCCTGCCCCGCCCCCAGCCCCGTGAGGAGCTGTCATAAGAACGAGGCAGGAAGGCCCGCAGCTTGCAGCCCCAAGCTCACGAGGGTGGCCTGAGCCTAGCGCGCCTCCGGCTCCGTTTCCCCACTGACTCTGACGCTCCCTGAGGGCACAGTGAGCACTGCACAGCTCTCCGAGATGGCTCTCGTCCCTGCTGCTCAGGGTCTAGGCTTGGGGCCCTCACATCCTTCCCACCAGGAAAGTCGTGCCACCCTAGTTCCTGAACAATTAGAACCCACAAGGCAGTGACAAGGAGTGACAGCGCCCAGGCTCAGCTACTTGCAGCCACAGAGGCTTGAGTATTCCAGGTGCCAAGACAGGAGACTCACAGCCCAGCTGTAGCAGCCCCACGGCATGGCTACCGTCTTTACCCCTTCTTCACAGCCAGGAAGGGGGGACTCACCCGTGGCAACCAGCAAAGGAGGACATGAACCCGAGAAGGCCACTGCATGCCAGCGGCCTGACATGCTGCCTTGGCTTTAGCCAAGGGCTGGTGTGCCCCCATTAGTGCACGGGGCACTGTGGGTCCCAGCACCAGCATGGGGGCCTGCTCCCCTGGCCACACTGTCCAGCGCAGCTCCACCAGTTACCTAGTCGACCTGCTGGCCGCGAGCTCCGGCCCCTGCTGCCAGGTCCCCACACAGGGCACTGCGGTCCCCTTCCTGCCTGCGGACATGGCCAGGCTGCCCCCCAGCTGCCTGCGGTTGGGAGGGAACACCCCGGGGTCAGAGAGCCCCTCACTGAGCCCCACCACAGATGAGTTTCCAGCTACAGACTTGCCTTTGCACAGGGCCAGCAGCTCGGGGTGCAGGGGGGCCTGGGCCCACTGGGAGGAGGGTCCGGGTTGGGGTCGGGGTTGGGGCTCACCAGCGCCTGCATGTCATACATGGTGCTCAGATGGTCCCAGATGACCTTGGATGGGACTTGGCGCCCGATGTTCTGGCTGAACTTGTCCCGGATGCAGATCATGTGGAAGTGCCGGTTCACACCTGTGGGGGGGGTGCCTACAGGTGAGGGGAGAGGAGGGGGCACACCTGTGGGGGGGTGCCTACAGGTGAGGGGAGAGGAGGGGGCACACCTGTGGGGGGAAGGGAGGGAAGGCTACAGGTGAGGG